ATGGTACAACTGCGCTCGCCCCAACGGTTACACCGTAAAACATATTAATCTGTAATCTGTATATCACAGGTATTTGTCAAAACACATTATTGCGATGCCCTCCGGATCAATGACGCAACGTTAAGTACAGATTGTTTGCATTTTTTAGTCACTTCCCGTTCACTTCCTGTTTGTGTGGGGAAAAGAACAAGGTGAGCTTCAACAAGTAACGACGTCGGCGTTTAATTATAACTATGCGATTGTAAGAAGAATTCCGAACAGTTTTAAATACAGTGGTCAACAGTACTCAAATAAATATGAAAAAGAGAATGAGATTGACGTAGAAAAGGCGAGAGAAGAGCATCGACAACTGATCGAGACGCTTAAAAAATGCGAGGTACGAGTTATCGAACTTCAAGAGGAAGAGGACTACCCCGAGTGCTGTTTTGTGGACGATTCCGCTGTCGTAATCGGTGCTACAGCCCTTATCACTAGGCTAGGACAAACTACACGTCAGGGAGAGGTAAGTCACTTCATAGAATCTGAATTTAAAAGAGGTGGAAAAAGGGGTGGGGGTGACGCGTGTGACACGATCATACTTTTCGATGACTCATGAAAAATGACTATAGTTTGATCAGTGTAAGCGAGTTGCTGCTTAACAAATTTATGATGAATTACTGAAAACAAAACTATTTCAATGTTTAGGTTTGATTTACAAAATATTTGGTGAATATTGATCTAATGAATGTCAAGAGTTCATATTTCCAAAAGTATTGGTCATAGGCCTACAACAAGCCTTGTTTACATTGTCGTAGTGTGGTAGTGTAAGATACACAGCATCCTACTAGCTTGGACTAGCGGGTTAACCCTTTAGCTCAATCGGTTGAGCATTGGTCATTGGACAAATGCCAGAGGTCCAGGGTTCAATCCCAAGTGGAGGCACTTACATCAGGTCCAGCACAATACCCTGATAAAGGTATATAGCTTGATAAAGCTATATAGCTTTATCAAGGTATTACAAATACTTTGATCAAGGTATTTTATGTAATGAAAATACAAAAAAAAATTCTAAAAAAAATAAATACTGAAAGTCGAGTTCTGATTTGTTGTCAGTAAATTCACTCATGCATGTAAAGTACTCAAACACAAAGAAATCGGTAAAAAAGCATGTCGTGTGAGGAGACGTTCTTTTATGCTGTCCTTTTTGATACCTGAGTACTTTTCATGCACGAGTGAATACACTGACCACAACTCATAATTCGACTTTTAAATTTAATTTTTTAAGATTTTTTTTTGTATTTTCATTACATAAAATACCTTGATCAAGATATGTGTAATACCTTGATAATATTTATCAAGCTATATACCTTTATCAGGGTATTGTGCTGGACCTGTACATGTCTCTGTTACATTTGATGCCCACGTTGGGACCGGGGTATTCTCTGGCGGGTGAGAGTGATTGCCCTCAGATCTTCACCCCACAAGCATCGACACTCCAAAAGAGATGAGGACATCTCATTCTCTGGAGAGGGACAATGTGGTAGTGTAAGATACATAGCATCCTACTAGCTAGGACTAGTGGATTAACCCTTTAGCTCAATCGGTAGAGCACTGGACTAATGCCAGAGGTCCCGGGTTCTATCCCAAGCGGAGACACTTATATGTCTCTGTTACAGTAGTGTATTATGAATCAATGTGCCTCATATCTTCTTAATCTTTGTTCCCTCTGATGTGATCAGAAATATTCTTGTTTATTTAATTCCAGGTTGCAGAGATTCGTAAAGTACTGAAAGATCTGAAATTTCGTATTGTGGAGATTGTTGACCCTGATGCCATTGTGGAAGGAGGAGATGTACTGTTCACAGGTAAGTCTGTGTTACCTTTTATTCACAGTTAAGTGTCACCAACCATGACTAAAACACAGATCCGCAAAACTGAACTATGAACTATTCAAACTGACAGTCTTCATTTAACTTCATTTAACTTAAACTTAATGTTTTGATTTTGGTGTCTTTAATCTTCAAACCAATTTAATTCTTCAACATAAGAATTTTTCCCCCATTCTGATTTTATATGTTACAGGTATGTATGTTTGACTGATAATCATGCTGATTATCACAACATTATAATTCATGAATTTTGATTTTGTTTCAGGGAAAGAAATTTTTGTTGGCCTGGGACAGGGAAGAAGAACAAATGAGCGGGGAGCATCAGCTGTTGCGGATGCTTTCCCAGAATACAATGTAGCCCCTGTCCGAATTGATGGGCAGGTCCAGCTGAAATCTCTGGTGTCCATGGCAGGGAAGGACATCATTGCCGTGGGTAACAGTCAGAATGCGAACAGATTTATGCAGGTAAATATCGTAAATGTCCAACATGTTTCTTAATGGATTACTTATTTTTCTCTGACACATACCATACACATTTGAATTTCATAAAAATAATTATTTGTAATATTATCAAGAAGTATGTGATACTAGTGTTGTACCGATAATCAGAAAACATCGATTGTCGACGAAAAAATGCTACCGATTCCAACGATCGATTATAATTTTTCATAATACTTCTAGTACAATACATTCCAGAATTATCCATTTCTGGTTTAAAATTTATTTCTTCTTAATGGAAGAAAATGGCGTTTGCATCTGATACTAGCCAACTAGCATGAAGCAGAGGTGATTAAGAACCGAGAGGTGCACATATAGGGCCTAAAAAAATTATGTTTGTTTCCTGTAACCCGACCGACCCCTTCAATTTACCCCTGGTTGGATTTTTTCTCTCCCAAATCTGTGTTTGCTCTTTGGTTTGATCAATCATCTGATTCTCTTTATTCAAAAATATTAATTGTATCTTTTATTTGAGATATAAAATATGCAACTTAGTCAACATTTACCTTAAATCTAAAGAATAATTAATTCCCCCCACAACTTTTTGAAGTTCGTTTTCTGCCGCTAGGCAGCCATGTTGGGTGTCCACTGTAAATATAACATCTGGATAATTCAGTCCTAGGATGATTGACCCCATTATTCATAAGCAAAAAAATCCCGACCTACCGACCCTTGATTTTTTGGGAATGTTACAGGATACAAACAAACATAATTTATTTTAGGCCTAGAAAGTGTAAAAGAAGTAAAACAACAAAGAAAATAATATATAATATATTTTATATATTCATGTTAAAGAAATAGTATGAAATAATTGTAATAGTCTGATTTTTGTATACAAAACTATGAAATCCGATTATAATTGGTAAAATTGTAGGAGTGAAACGGTTCACTGCGGTATCGATTCACCGCGGTAATTTTTCTCGGTTTGATACACGGTGCAAAATCTCTAATTTTCGGTTCGGTTCATTTTTCGGTCGGGATCATTATTCAGTCGGGTTTGGCATAAGGTAAAACATGCTACTTAATATAAATAAGTATAGAAAACGTAAATTTTTGATGACTGATAGCTTGTAAAATAATTTTTGACAGTCAAATAATTTTTATCAATTTCTTCTAGTCAATTTGCAAATAAAATTCGTAAAATATGTGACTAGATTTAGAAAAAGAAAGCATAAAACAATATGAATTTGTTTCCTTCTATCAAAATATATCGTATCGAAAATAACCGAACCGAGACAAAATTATACAATACGTATCAAATCGTGAAGGAGGTGTATCATTTCACCCTTGCATCGGAAGCAGTAACCGATTCCAACCGATGATCGATTATGAAAATTAACCGATGTCCCATCGCTATGTGATACAGCAAGTTAATATTTTACATTGGATTAGAATAATTTTGCACACAATCTCAGTACAGTAAAACATGCTTATAAGGAAGTGCCAGGGACGGACAATTTTGCTTCATTATAAGCGTAATACGTTATATCCTTTAAGTTTACAATATGTTTTAAACTCACAGGGAATGACAATCACTTCACTGTAAGCATCAATTCATTATAAGTGTGTTCGCTATAAGTGTGTTTTACTGTATTCCCATTTCTCACAAGGAATTAATCATAAAGTGAAATGATAGAATATAATGATATATTCAGGAAGTTTACATTTGCTATGATTTAGAATACTAAACTGTTGATTATATATTTTTGATGACATGAAAATTAAATGTTTTTTTTCATAGCAAATCAAGCAAGTGGCACAGTACAGTTATCATATTTTGAAACTTGACAATGATAAGGCAGCTAACATGTTGTATGTAAATGGCCGACTGATACACAGAACCAGGGAAGAAATCGGGGATAGCAGTTACAGTGTAAGTACTCACAATAAAGTTAGTTAATGTAGTAACATTAAAAATAATATACAAATCTATACACTGAGTAGAACTTATAGAGTAGGACCTTGCACTATAGCTAACGAATTAACTCAGTAATGTTAGTTTATTTGACAAATCTATACACTGGGTAGAACTTACAGAGTAAGAACTTGCACTATAGCTAACTGATTAACTAAGCAGTGTTAGAATATTTTACAACTCTATACACTTGGTAGAACTAATATATTTTTAAGTTTTCATTAATCAAATAAATTATTTTAAAGCCTTTGCATCAAAAAAAGTTTTATGTTCAAGTCAGGTATTTTCCAAAACTTTGAGATGTGACAACTCTATACAGGATTTCAGTACAGAGTTATTTCTCTTGTTTTAATGTGCTATTTTTAAAAGATTAGGCAGAATACACAAAATAAATTAAAGGAAATGTAACAGTTTGATTAAAAACATAAATTTTCACATTGAAAAAGAAACAGATTTAATGTCATATTTCTTTGCCATAATTTTTGTATTCTGAAGGAATTAATAAATAAATGTATTTATCATGGGTGCTAAGCATTATTTGTACCCGTGGGAAAGTAGGCGGGTTTGTTTTGATACGGGTGTTGGATTTATACAATGATTGGCTATTTATATAGTAACAAGTACACATGAGTAGAGATGTTATTGAAGGGCGAGTATTGTGTGAATGTGCCATTCGAAGGCTCAGATTCTAAATCATTCCACGTTTTATCCATGTTACAATGTCCGAGCACGAGGACACAGAGCTGAATCTTTTATACGAAACACCAACTCAAGGCCGCTCTCAACAAGTTTCAAGGGCTCCTGAGGTTCAGTCTACTCTTGGGAATACTAGTAATGTGAATGACTTGGCCGATGCAGTAAGTTTATTCAAAAGCGTCATTGACTCTCAATTTGCTTCTCTATCTGAAAAACCTCTGACCGAGCAGAAAGTTAACGCTAAAAGTCTGTCAAAGAAGATTAAAGAAAGTAAAAGTACACGTATTCAGGGTGAAGGCAATAGAATTCAGTACACTTTTAACGAAGAAATAATTGAAGACCTAGAAAATCTGTCTATCATCCTTAAAGACAGTTCGGCTGTATCCGTCATTAAAGAGATTAAAGAAAAATTGCAGAAACGTAATAAACTCATAAGAATTGCAGATAATAGTCCAGCTGGTTGGAAGACCGTAAGAGAATATGAACAAAACGATTATGCAGACGACTCTGATGACGATAAAAAGATACGAAGTGCGGAGTCACGGGCCATGCGGCAGAAGTTCCGAGGCAGGGGACGTCCTACACCGTACAGCCGTCTGGTGTCAGCAGCGGCGGGGTCCCCGGCGCAGCTTTCCTCTGGTAGTTTTGGTGGTTATCCTCTACTCAGTCAGCCCTTTCGTGCCTTTGGGGGTTCAAGGAGAACCCCACAGCCTTCAGACTTGTGTCACAGATGTTTTAAGACCGGATACTGGAAAAGTCGCTGCCCCCTCAATTACACGCAATCCACCACAGGGTCTGCAGGAGCAAGCACATCAGGCGGTCAATGATGATAAGTATTGTTATAGTCCAAGCTGGTCTGGTATTCTCGATATTTCAAAAAGTATCAAGGAAATTTTGATTTCTTATGATAGAAAATGTAATCAAATAAAAGGTAGAGTCAAGAAAAGTTTGTTTCATAATCTTCAGTTTTGGAAAGAAATAGATGCTTATGATTCGGTTTTTTTCTATAATTCAAAATGGATATTCTCTTGATTTTGAAATTCACCCCCCTTCAAAGCATTTCGAGAATAATAAATCAGCTATGTTGAATGAAGATTTTGTTTCAGGAGCAGTTCAGAATCTGATAGACTCAGGTAGAGTAATTCAGTTACATGAAAAACCATATATGATCAATCCACTGAGCGTAGCAGAAAACCACGAAAAGAAAAGGCTTATTTTAGATCTTAGTTTCTTGAATAATTTCGTACGGAAAGAAAAAGTAAAATTTGAAGATTGGAAAATCGCTATACAATATTTCAAAATAAACTGTTTTATGACAAAATTTGATTTGCAGTCGGGATATCATCACATAGATATCGATCCTTGTTTTCAGCAATATTTAGGTTTTTCATGGAAGGGTAATTATTTTTGTTTCACTGTCTTACCATTTGGTCTAACTTCAGCTCCATATGTTTTTACAAAGTGTTTGAGGCCATTAGTAAATTATTGGAGAAAAAACAATTTAAAAGTAGTTCTATACCTGGATGACGGTCTTATTCTGGCTATGTCCGAGGCAAAATGTATTTCAGCTACAGGATTTATTAAACAGTCTTTAGTTTCAGCAGGTTTTTTCAAAAACGAGAAGAAATCAATTTTCAGCCCTGTACAAGAAATTGAATGGCTTGGACTGGTATGGAGATCTTTAGATTTTAGTTTACGAGTACCAGAACAGAGAATAGTAGACTTAGAAAATTGTTTAGAAAGAGTTTTGAATGCATTGCCTAATGTTTCTGCAAGAATTGTAGCACAGTTTACGTGAAAAATTATTTCAATGTTACCGGTTATGGGAAATGTTGTTAGACTTATGAGTCGTGCTTGCCACGTTGCTATAGAGAATAGGGTTTCTTGGGATAAAAAGTTAGATCATGTTATCTTAGATTCAATATTACCTGAAATGTATTTTTGGAAAAAGAACGTTAGATCTTATAACTGCAAAAGCCTTCAGAATTATTCAAGAAAGCATGTCATGATTTTTTCAGACGCTAGTGATGTTGCTGGAGCAGCACATACAGTAGAGTTGGATCAAAAGGTTTTTCACATTGGATGGAGCGAGTTTGAAAAAGAAAAGAGTCCTACATGGAGAGAATTAAAGGCTATAGAGCTTGGTTTATTATCGTTTCACAAAGTTCTTTGTGGAAAAACTGTGAAATGGTTTACTGATAATCAAAACTGTGTAAAAATCATTGAAAGTGGGAGTATGAAAAGTGATTTACAAGAAATTTCATTGGGCATTTTTCAGATTTGTCTGTCTAACGGTATTTCAATCGACGCTCAATGGATACCCAGAAATAAAAATTTCAGAGCAGATTATTTAAGCAAAATTATTGATTACAAAGACTGGGGGATAACAGATGAGTTTTTTGAATTTATGACCAGTATTTGGGGTCCATTTGACATTGACCGGTTTGCGAATTTTAAAAATACCAAGTTAGAACGATTCAATTCGTTATTTTGGAATCCTGGTACAGAGGGTGTAGACTGTTTTAGTTTTTCATGGGAAAGGGATAACAATTGGCTAGTACCCCCCATTTCATTGATTGGTAAATGCATTTTACATTTGATTGGAACTAAATGGAGAGGTACTATCATTGTTCCACATTGGCCCTCTTCTTATTTCTGGCCTTTGATTTTTGACGAGTATAATGAAACCATGCCCGTTGTAAAGGAGGTTTTAGAGTTTCGTGAAGGTTACAGAATTTTTAAACAAGGAGATAATAAGAATTCTATTTTTGGTTCTCTGGATTTTTATTCAAAAGTTTTGACAATCAGATTAGATGCAAGAATGTGAAATGGGACCTGATGTGCAAGGGCACATTGCAGAAGGTTTAACATATTATTGGTCCTGGTGCATGCGGTGCATTGCAGATGTTTTTATAAACGTATATATTGTATGATTAGTTGTCAAGAGAGATTTATTGGAAGATGCGTTAATCTTATAAGTGGTATCGGGTCCTGATATGCTAGAGGCATATTGCAGAAGTTTTATATGAATAACATTATATACGGAGGTCATGAATAATGAAATGTGTGTATATTTCGATGCATATACATGTAGGTAGTGATATTTTTTTTATAGATGTTTTCAATTATGCGTTTTACAGATATATTCCGCAAGGGAAGGTGGGCAGAAAACAGATCGTACGACAACCCAGAGCTGAATAGACTATCTGCCCTACTACCGGAGTACTGTCTAAAAGGAAAGGCAGAAAATACCAGAAAGAAATATAAGTATGCATTTAATAACTTTTGTGTGTAGTTCTCATTGTTCGAGTTTGTCATTTTTACCTTCAACCTTCAACTTTTACCTTCAACTGATATGACAGTTTCTATGTATTTGGTACACATTGGCCAGAATTTTTGCTCGTCAGCCAAACTAGAGGAAGCTGTAAGTGCTATTTCATGGGCTCATAATTTAGCAGGTTATTCAAACCCATGTCATTCTTCTTTAGTCACACAGGTCAAAGAAGGGGTACTGAGAGAATGCAGGAAACCGATCACAAAAAAGGAACCTATTTTACCTCTTCATTTATTTCTTCTTGCAGAAAAGTATGGCAATGAAAACAGCTGTCTTCCAGATTTGCGAATCATTACAATTTGCCTTATAGGATATTCAGGTTTTCTTAGATTTTCGGAAATTGTTAACATCAGACGATCCGATATCTCATTCCAAGATCAGTATGTCTCCATATTCATTCCGAAAAGTAAAACAGACAAATATAATGAAGGTTCTCATGTTTGCATTGCAGAGACTTGTACCAAAACATGTCCTGTAAATTTTTTGAAAAGATATTTAGAATTAGCGGGAATAGAGAGTTCCTCAGATGAGTTTATTTTTAGACAAATTACATACTTGAAAAAAGCCGGTTCCTTTAAGTTAAGAAATACTAACAAACCACTGTCATATACTAGAGCAAGGGAAATTATTCTTTCTGCCTTGGGGGATATTGGTTTAGATAAGAAAAAGTTTGGATTACACAGTTTAAGGTCAGGAGGCGCTACAGCGGCAGCTGCTTCAGGAGTTAATGACAGAATTTTCAAAAAACATGGCAGGTGGAAAAGTGAAAAAGCAAAAGATGGTTATGTAAGGGAAACAAAGTCAGAAAAATTGAGCGTTTCAAAAAATCTGGGTATATAATTCAATTTTGCCCTATTGTAACTTAACTCTACTTTATTCTTTTCGAAATCTGAGCGCTTCGCCTCCTATTCTATAAATAATGTGTTGTTTTATATGGTAAATGAATTATGTTCGTTTGAGTGAAACGAATTAAGAACATAAATGTATTTATCATGGGTGCTAAGCATTATTTGTACCCGTGGGAAAGTAGGCGGGTTTGTTTTGATACGGGTGTTGGATTTATACAATGATTGGCTATTTATATAGTAACAAGTACGCATGAGTAGAGATGTTGTTGAAGGGCGAATATTGTGTAAATGTGCCATTCGAAGGCTCAGATTCTAAATCAATTCCACGTTTTGGCATTATTCCCACCCACCCACCCATTATTACAATTTATAATTTATATTGACTGATTTGTTTAATGTATTGATGTTTAAATTTTTTTTTGTAGTTTGATGAATGTATATGGATGGAGGTATAAGGGTACATGATGGTACATGAGAATACATGATGGTACATGAGGGTACATGAGGATTGATAATGTATATTATAATGTGTGAATAAATCTGAGTGCTTCGCCTCCTATCCTATAAATAATGCGTTGTTTTATATGGTAAATGATTTATGTTCGTTTGAGTGAAACGAATTAAGAACATAAATGGAGGATTTCAATGTTTTGTAGTTGGATATGGAATTTATTTCACAAGTGGGACATGATATTTTGATATTTTTTGAGTGTGAAGCATGAGTAAAAATTTTTTTAAAAATCCTGTTTTACTAGTGATTGTGAGATTGAAAACTTGTAAACATATTTCAGCAACATATTTGGAGAAACTTCGGCAGTTTTAATTTCTGTGTCAGGATGCTTTATTTACTTTCAGACTGTATTATAACAGTCCAGAGAGTACATGTATTTTTTTTAACAGCACCCATCATGAAGGGAAGAAAGTTGAGAGTTTTGCAGCACTTCTGATATTCTTTCACACTGTGACAAAATATCTCTTTTATTCAATTACAGTATTTCGATGTTAAAAATGTAATAAATGTTCATATGTGGCACACTTTTCCTAAATATCATTTAAAAGTTTTAGCTTTTTTTTTTTGAAAAACACGATTAGGTGATCAAAATCAATCTTGACATTTGAATGAAGTGATGTGAAACAGCATCATATATACATATTGATATTAAGGAAATTGATTAGAAAAGCAATGAAGTCAAGCAATTAAAAGTGGTATCAAATTGATTTTGACTATGGGTTCTTGATGAAATATCTTTTTCGGCTTGAAATAGGTTATACAGAAATTGATAGAGGATGACATTCCAGTCTCCCAAAAAGAGCTATTTCAGACAGGGGGGGGGGGGACCATTCAGAACTGTTGTTTATTGTGAATGAATGTGTCCGAGTTCAAACATATTATCTCCACCCTTCCATCAACAGGTATTATTGTTACTAAGGCATGGATTGGTTGATTTTTGTCATCAAGGCAAGGATTAGCTAATCCTTATTGCCAATGCAGGGATTGGCTATGGGACTTCAAATTCTCATTTTAAGCTCACCTCGACAGTCAAAATGAACTTACGCTATACCCCCCGTTGTCAAGGTTAAAGTTTTTGGAGCAAGTCCATTCCTAAATAGATTAACTATGATTCCTATGTTGACCAAATGTGAATGGATGATGCACTTAGAGTTGCACATTATCAGACATACTTTGGATGCTAGATCTGAGCTAGATTTTCTAGATAAATTACCAGGTTAAAGTTTTCAAGCAAGTCCATTCCAAGTAACTATAAGCCCTACATGGACTAGTCTAAACTTTAATGAATGATGCATCTAGGGATGTACACTACTAGACATGCTTTGGATGCTGGATCTGACCTAGAATTTCCAGATGAGTGACCAGGTTAAATGTTTTGGAGCAAGTACATTTCCAAGTAACTGCAAGTCTTACCTGGACCAAACTTGCATGGAAGATGCATCTGTGGATGTACACTACCGGATTTACTTCAGATGCTGTATCTGACGTAGATTTACTACATGTATATGAGTGACGAGGTTAAAGTTTTTAGAGCAGGTCCATTCCCAAGTAACTACAAGCCCTATGCTGACCATACTTGACAGGATGATGCATCTAGGGATACACATTGCCAGACATGCTTGGGATCAGATGCTGGATTTGATCTACATTTTCCAGATGAGTGACCAGATTTAATTATTTGCAGTAATTTATTTTTCAAGTAACTATAAGCCCTAACTGGACAAAACTTGCATGGATGATCCATTGAGAGATTCACACTTCCAGACATCCTTTAGATACTGAGTCTGACCATCATAAAATTAGCTATAACCCCTATGTTGACAAAACTTGAATTGATGATTCATATGGAAAAGCACACTAGCAGACATGCTTCAGATGCTTTATTTAACCTTGATTTTCCAGATGAGTGACCAGGTTGAAGTTTTTTTGGAACAGGTCCATTCCCAAATAACTTTAAGTTCCATCTAGACCAAACTTGCATGAATGATTCATCTAACAATATACATTACCAGAAC